CAACTTCGAAACACAAATCCGATCACCGGAAAATGGCGAACGAGGTGAAATCCGACGCAATCATGGACTTGATGAAGCAGCATCTCTCCACCGACGCCGGAAATGAACTAACCAAGAAGATCGGACTTGTCTACCAGATCAACATCGCTCCCAAGGGCCTCTTCTCGATTTTCAATTCTTCTTCTTCTTCGACATTGTTCCTTATCTGTGTCGTTTCGATTTCCAGAAATTAGGGTTTGATGAGGTTACTTATTTGTTTTAGCAATTGGGAATTCAGAGAAGAAAAATAATCAGAAACGTTTCTTTTTGCGATTGGGAGAGATTCTTGTGTCTCTGTTCGTTGCAATGCTTGGTCAATCAAACCGTCTACTAGTTTCTTACTGGTTAAAAGGTTAATTTTTCTGTGTGTTTTGGTTGCAATCCGTAAGTTCGAGTCAGTAGGAGACTATTTTTAAAAGCTGAATCTATGGAAAAAGTGAAAGTTATAACAAGAAAATGTAACATGTTCGAAGACTTATATGTGTGTGTTTTGATTGCAATCTGTAAATTTGGGTCAGTTCTGGAGGAGTTTCTTTGTTCATATCATTGAAGAGCTGAATCTATGGGGGAAAAAAGTGAAAGAGATAACAAAAGAATGTAATATATTCGAAGATTTATGTGTGATGTCGCCGGTTGTTTAATCGTGTTATGCTGAAATTGGTAGGGAAATATGAAGGAGGAAAGGTGGATGCTACTTTTTCATTCAAAGATGATGATTTTGTTAAAGTTGCCACTGGGAAGATGAATCCTCAGATTGCTTTCATAAGGTTCTCTTTCTTACTTCTCAATCCTCCAATGTTAGGTCTTACTGGTCATGTTCCAACATTCATTGACTATATGTAAACTAGCTTTGCTCTGTATTTCTCTAATTCAACATTCATTGACTATATGTAAACTCTGTTTTCTGTCATTGTAAGATATTTTTCTTATGTTTTTACTTGATTCCATTGAAACACCGATGCAGGGGTGCAATGAAGATGAAGGGGAGTCTCAGTGCTGCACAGAAATTCACTCCTGACATTTTCCCAAAGCCTTCAAAGTTGTGAACACAAAGTTTGAAGCATACAAAGCAAAGACCACAATAGGACTTGTGTTGTGTTAAAGCCACAAAAGAATTAAACAGAGTACTAAAAAACCCATAAATTAGCTCTATTCATTTGTACATATTTTGCCATTTTGTGGTACTCTTTTTCTTGGAAAAGAATAAAGTTTGATGTTCATTTTCGATTCTAATCTCAAAACTGTGTTTCTTTTCTTCCAGTGGAATTTTTAATATTATACAAAATTACTATTTTACGTGGACTACGTTACTTCGTTTGCTAGTTGCAGATAACAGATAAAACAGTATCAGAACATAAACGAAACAGAACAGAGAGAAACAATGTCCGTTGTATTACGCGGAGGCATCGCGGCCGGAGGATTTCTTCTCCGTGGTGGCCACGACTCTTCGACCGTCAGTACAAGAAGAATCTCATCCGTTAGAGCCGCAGGAGGAGGCGTCAATCCAACGGTAGCCGTGGAACGTCCCACATGGCTACCTGGCCTTGACCCTCCTGCATACCTCGACGGAAAGTGAGTTCCATTTCAAGTCTTTGCAACAAATCGGAAGAAAAAGAAAACAAGCTTTTGGCTTCTAAAACCATTGTTTTGTTCTTTGTTACAGGTTAGCTGGAGATTTCGGGTTTGACCCGCTTGGGTTAGGAGAGGATCCTGAAAGCTTGAAATGGTATGTTCAAGCAGAGCTAGTCCACTCCCGTTTCGCCATGCTCGGTGTTGCAGGAATACTCTTCACTGATGTAATATATCTTCATCACTTTCAGCTCCTGAGATGTTTTATATCCCCAAAAAAAAAAAAAAACTCTAATCTCAGGGCTTTGCTTTGTTTCATAGCTGCTTCGTACCACAGGGATTAGCAATTTACCGGTTTGGTATGAAGCTGGAGCTGTCAAATTTGATTTTGCCAGCACAAAAACTCTCATAGTTGTACAGTTTCTACTTATGGGGTAATAAGTAAACTCATCATCTCTCTGTATCGCCAACAAAAGCTAATATTGTACATTGTTTACACAGGTTTGCTGAGACAAAAAGGTATATGGATTTCGTCTCTCCGGGATCTCAAGCTCAAGAAGGATCTTTCTTTGGACTTGAAGCAGCACTTGAGGGCCTCGAACCCGGGTAATGTTTTTGTTATGATCTAGTTTCTCACTCTTTGTGTACATTGTGTAAATGAGAAATGAGTTGATTTTGGTCATAGATATCCCGGAGGGCCGCTTCTGAATCCACTAGGCCTGGCTAAAGATATCGGAAACGCTCGTGAATGGAAGCTTAAGGAGATCAAGAACGGTAATAGACTCAGAGAATTTCTCTAACCGGGAACTGTTTTGTTGGTTTGCTTCATTTCTCATACACTAATGGTGTGTCATTGATTGGTTTTTAACAGGTCGTCTAGCGATGATGGCGATGCTTGGGTTCTTTGTTCAAGCCTCTGTGACTCACACTGGTCCTATCGATAACCTTATCGAGCATCTCTCCAATCCATGGCATAAGACCATCATTCAAGCCCTCTTCAACTCTGCTTAGGTAACATTTTCGTTTCATTCTTTTGTAACGGAAAATTCGATATCTAAAGCTGCTCCACTAATGTATCAAATCAATGACATTATTTCATTTAAGAGTACAACAAATCTGTTTCTTCCAAAAGAAATCTAACCAACAAACTTAGAAAGTTTACTGACATCTCTCAATACCGCCTTTTTCTCCTACTTGTATGAATTTCACATACTCTGTTTTGCATTTCCATAAAGAATATGTTGATCAAAGGATAATAGAATCTACCTGTAAGAATCTGGAGCTTTTTTCACTTGTTCGACGATTTCTTCCTTGACAATAACATGAAGACCTTTGGCAACAAAGAAAACCTCTTCTTTTTCTTCTTTGTTTCAGGGGACACATTACTAGTGTTTCCTTGTTCACCAAATGCAAATGATCTTGCTGTATGTAAAGCTGATTTTGACTTGCTTAAGTCATGATTCTCCTTCTTTCCACCCTCGGGGCTAGACATCGGGCTCCTCTTCCCGTTTTCTGAGCTCCATTTCCGCAGCTCGTGCTCCATACCAACCTTCCCATCTCTAGCCTTCTCTACTTTCCCCATTGCTTCTTTTAGCTCTTCCTTTCTAGAAGCTGTTTCTCTATTCACTTCCTCTAGCTTTTCCAAGATTCTTGATTCCTCTTCCTTAGCCAATTCGATTTGTGAGACGATCTCCGCTAATTTTCTGTTGGCTGCCTCCTCTACCTCATGTGCTTGTTTGCTTAGCTCATAATATTGCTCCACGGAAATTATTATGCTTCTCGGTGAACTACTAATGTTCTCAATATTTGTAGCACATTGAGTCTCTTGCAATGCTTTTATCGCAGCTAAGGCCAACTTCTCAGAAGCTCTTGCAGCGTCCATTTCCTTTTTTGCCTCAGTTAACTTGCTTTCTATAGCAGAGACTCCTGTTTTTGCTTGATCTGACTCTTCCTTCGCCTTTCTCAGCTCCTCTCGAGCAGCTATGGCAAGTGACTTTGCCTCCTCTGCCTCTCTGCCAGCCTCTTTCAACTTCTTGGCTATTTCTGTGGATCTTTCCTCTCTTGCTTCTTCGATGTTTCTCTGAACCGAAAGAGCTTCTCTCTGTTTAGTTTCTACTAAATCTTTCTTCTCTCTTTCAAGTTCGGACGTCAATGATCCTACAATTATCTTCAAGGTTTTCACCTCGGAATTTGCTTTCTCAATGTTGGATATAACTTCTTCAAGCTCTTTCCTCGCGGAATCAACCGCTACTTGTATGTCACTGTTGTTTCTCTTTTCCATCATCATGTTATTGTTTGAGTCTTTGTAAGCTGCTATTTCGCCCCTTAAATCTTGCTGAAGTGTAGAAGCAGTCTCTAGTTTGATTTTCACATCATCCGCCACATTAATCTCTTGTCTAAGCCTCTCAATCTCGTCTTCTATCATTTTCAGTTCCTTCTCCCGGTTATACACGTCGTGGTCCCGATCCATGACTGCATTTAGTTTCTTTTCTTCCGCTTCGAGATGAGCCGCATGCGCTGACTCCAACAACTCCTTGGTTGCAATCACCTCTATTGTCAAACCCTCCATCTGTTTCTCTAAATCTTTAGCTTCCAAAACTAAATCCTCGGCTTTTTTCGCAGCCAACTCGTTTTCCCTCAACATAGATTCATACTCATTAGAGACCATTTCTATCTCTTTTCTCACCGATCCTAGCTCAGAAACCGCTGACAAATGCCTCGCTTTAGCCACCTCGAGCTGCGCTTTTGCTGCAACACTAGACTCATCAGCTATCCCTTGCTCCATTTCCTCCACACGCATCTTCGCAAGATCAGAGTCTTGTTTCGCTTGTTGCTCCTCTTTTTCAGCCTTTTCTAGCTCGAGTTTTAGCGCCTCGATAACACTCCTTGTGCTCTCAAGCTCCATCACCACTTGCTGCTTCGCCTCTTCCGCTACAACAGCCTGATTCTTATACTCAGGCATATGCTCTTGTATCTTCTCAAGCTCTTGATCAACCGTCTTCCGTCTCTGGAGACAAATCAGAAAATCCAACGCTAAGAATGATAATTGAACTAAAAAGCTTTCTTTGTTATTCTTTTTACCTCTATTGTTTGGATTTTATGTGCTTTCCAATCTGTGATCCCTCCAAACTTTGAAACTGCTTCCTTCACCGATTCAAACGGCGCAGCGGTATCAATCAACACGGGACTCGTGGGTGACCCGAAACGCGGGGATACAGATGTTCTTGGATGCACAAAAGCTCTAGGTGAACCAGGAACTCTTAGACGTGAGAGACCAACATCTTGGCTTGATCCTCCAGGTGAATCAGGCAAAATCCTAGCATCTTCAATACAATCGATTCGAGAGTCTAGTGAAAACGAGTCTTGATGGTTAATCGTGACCCTTGGTGCAATATACACCTTTGGAGAAGAGTCTGGTTCAACATCATATTGTGGATCTTCCTCTTTAGGTATATCCACAGATTGATCAAGAAATGGATTATGTTCCACGCTTAGGAGATCAGAGATGGATGAATCGAATTCGATAGCATTGAAAGGCGTAGTAGAGGGATCGTCATTGAGATCAGGAAGTAAACAAAGGTCATTGGTAACTTGATCATTATCCACCATTGTTCAAGATTCTCTCAGAAACGCAACTGCATTTTTGATTACACAACAAAGATTTCCCCGATTAAACAAAAACAGAGAAAACAAAACAGAGTTTTTTTTTTGTTCAGACATTCATAATCACAAATGATGAATTCAAGATTCTTAATACATAAAAGAAATGGGTTATAATCAGATCATAGGTTTCAAGATTCTGAACAAAGGAACCACATGCAAAGATGGAGTTTTGACGTCGTACCTTCATAAAAATGCAACTTTGGAGAGATTTATTAATGAAGCCTAATCTTTAGATAATCTGAAAGATCATATCACACATACGTTTTTCAAATATGAATCAATGAAGAAAATTTTCAGAAACGAGACAGAAGAAAAAAAATGATCAATCAGAGAAAGATTTGAAAACAAAAAAAAAGAAGAAGATTAACATAACAACAACCATAAGGGCGTGGAGAGCA